CCTTGAATTTACTATGTAGCTGAGACTATCCTTGGGCTCCTGATCCTCCTGCCTTAGTCTCCTCACTGCTGAGATTCTGAAATTGCAGATATGTGCCACCATACTCAACTAGGACATCTTATGTCTGTCTGTCTGTCTGTCTGTCTACCTGCCTATCATCTATCTATCTATCTATCTATCTATCTATCTATCTATCTATCTATCTATCTATCTATCCATTTGAGACTAGTCTTCTCTCAGGTATATGTTTTCTGAAGCTGTAGGGTTTTCACATCCGTACTATGGTCTAGAATCTATTTTGAATTACCTTTTGCATATGATGTGAGGTTGTGACTCATGTATTTTTCCCCTTTCAATATTGATGTCCAATTACTACAATTCCATTTATTTAACACACTGTTCTTTTCCTGTTGGACTCACTTGGTGTCATTTAAAATATCATATGTCTGTATAATTGGAGGGGTCAATTTCTAAGATACACTTGTAACATCAATTTATTTGCCAATCATTATGCCAACATGATAGCTTTATCATGATAATAAATCAAAATGTTAGGCAATGTAAGTTCTTAACTTCATTCATTGTTTACAAAGTTGTTGACTGTTATATATCCCTTGGTTTTTCATGTCAGTTTAGATTTAGATAGTCAATTGTTGCATTTGTTTCTATAGATCAGTGTCAGGAGAATTGGGATTTTAGGAACTGAGTCTTTCATCTATAAAATGATATATCTCTATAGATATTTAGATCTGACTTAATCTCTTTCTTTAGTACTTTATATTTTTAGTGTAGAAGTTTTAGAAGTCTGCTTCCATGAAATCTTGGTATGTTAAAGGTACAGATGTGATATATAACATACATCATATATTATGTAGACCATATATTGTAGCTTATATGTTCCATGTTACATATAATACTATAAAGTTTTATAATTATTCCATAATTTATGTTACAGTGAAGGGGAATCAGTTTTTTTTAATTTCACTTTCAATTCTTTGTAATCTGAATTGAGTTTTCATATACCTTTGTATTCAGTGACTTTACTAAATTTTCCTATCTGTTCTAGATGTTGAGTCATGTCACCAGCAAAACAATCTATTTTCACTCTTTCTGCCTTTTACTCCTTTTCATTTTGCCTTACTGAGGTAGATAAGCCCTCTTGTATAATGCCAAATATGCTTGTTGATGGCGGGGAGACTTGCTTTTAATAGTCCTAAGGAAAAACATTGACTTTCACCATAGCTGCATTCTCTTAGTAGATGTCCTTTATCAGATTGAAGAGTTTTGCATTTAAGAAGTCCTTGGTTGTGCTGGGGTGATGGCTCAGTGAATAAAGTACTTGTTCTGCAATTGTGAGGACAAAAGCACAGATTCCCAGAACCTATAGCTGGGCAGATGTGGCAGCCACCTGTAAGCTAGGCACTCAGGAGATAGAGATCGGAGATCCATGGGGCAAGCTGTCTAAGTAGACTAGCTGGAATCAGTGAGCTCTGAGTTCAGCTAGGGATCCTGTCTCAATAAATAAAATGAAGAGTGATTGAGGAAGACATTCAACATCAATTTTAGGCCTCTACATGTACCTGCACACACATGTGCATCCACACACTTGAATAAGCACACATACACACACACACAGAGATAGAGAGAGGCCATGGTGATACATGCTGTATTAATTTCTTTTCTGGTGTAGTGGTAAAATATCCTGACAAAAATCACTTAAGGGAGGAAGGGTTTATTTTGGCTCACAGTTCCAGAGGGATACAGTCCATCATGGCAGGGAAGACATGGCAACAGGAGGGAAGGCATAGAGGCAGGACCAGGAAGCTGGATGATCACATGGCACCTGTACTCAGAAAACAGAAGCAAAGAGCAAGTGGGACCAGGCTAGAATGCCTCAAGGCTGGTCTCCAGGGACTTACTTCCTCCAAGCAGGCTCTACCTCCTAAAGCTTCCTTAACCTTCCCAGCTGGGAGCCAAGTATTGAAACACAGCTAACGGCAACATTTCATATCCAAACCACAAGAAATGCATATAATCCAAGCAACGAGGAGACTGAGAGCAGTGGATTTGAGGCCTATATAGCAGGATCCTATCTCAGAAAAACAGAAGCATGTCTCTCCTAATTTGCTAAGAGTTTGTGTACGTGGGTCTTCAAGTACTTTACTTCATGTAGTTATATTATCACATGGTTTTCTTCTTTGTTCTGTTAATACGGTAAATTGCATTGAGTGATTTTTTTTTGAGATAGGGTTTCTCTGTGTAGCCCTGACTGTCCTGGAACTTGTTCTGTAGACTGACCAGGCTGGCCTTGAACTCACAGAGAACTACCTGCCTCTGCCTTGTGAGTGCTGGGATTAAAGGTGAGTACCACTACCGCCAATTTGCACTGAGTGATCTTTAATACTAAACAAATGAGTTCCTGAGATAATCACATGTGGTCATTGGGTATCATATTTTTGACATATCATTGAATTCAATTTGCTAATATTTTGTCAAGAACTATGTTTTATCTATGAATTCGAAGAAGAGGAGTCTGTAAATTTTTTTTTGGACTGTTTCCCTCCTACATTTTGGAATTAAGATGCTGTTTGTTGGTAACACAAAGTGAATGGCTGGTATTCTCCCCTCCATTTTTTAGGAGGAAGTTTGGGTGAGATTGGTGTGATTTCCTGCATAAACATCTGGTGGGATATGAGTCTTGAGTTTCCTTGAAATTTTATAAAACCTTTAAAACTATGAATCTAAATTCTCTAAGATACATGGCTATTTATGCTCATTTTCAATATATGCGCCATCAGTAAACCCTATGGGGGTGACCTTCATCAGCATACCCAGAATCTTTTTATGTTACGTGTATGCGTGTGAGTATAGGCTCTCAAAGTGGCCAGAGGTGTTGGATCCTATAGAGCTGTAGTTAGTTACAGGTAGTTGTGAGCAGCCTGACATGAGTGCTAGGAACCAAACTCGTGTCCTCTGGAAGAGCAATATGTGCTCTTAACCACTGAGCCATCTCTCCAGCAATATCTACCACAGTATCTCTTCCTATTGGTTCCTTGGCTACCACTTTGCAGGGAAACATCACAGTCCCTTTCTGGATCATTGTACCAACCACCTTATGGTACTTGTTTTTCCTTCCGTCATTGCTCCTTAAATTTGATTCTCAGTACAGGAGCAAGTGTGCCCTTTATTGGAAGTCATATTGTGTTACTACGTAATACCATCACCAGGAATAAAAGAAAAACCCTTTTGTAGTGACCTACGGGGTTGAGCATGGTACAGCATGGCTGCACCAATCTCCCTGTCATTCTCATTTCCTTCATTCCCCACCAATCACCTCCTTGCTGATACTTCAACCAGTGAAGCATTCTTTGCCACAGGACCTTTACATATGATTTCTAATCTGCTAAGCACATTACTCCCCAAGGCTCTGCCATTTCTGCTCCCTTAACTTCTTCAAAATTTGCACAAGTGCAATTAAGTAGAGTCATTCCTGAAAACGTTAAAAATGTTCAATGTCCCTTTCTGTGTTTTTGTCCTTTGTCATTTTTTGTTTGTTCTCTGTGTACTTACAACATTATTATTTTTATTATTCTTATTATTACTTTTGGTTTTTGAGACAGGCTCTCGTGTAACTCTGGCTTGGAATTCACTATATTATGTAGACCAGGCTGGCTTTGAACTCACAGAGATCCTTCTGCCTCTGCCTCCTCAGTGCTGGGATTAAAGGCATGTGCCACTTTGTCCAGCCATCTTTATTTTTTGACTGATTTTATTTTTTTTAAGATTCATTTATTTTATTTTATGTGTATGAGTGTTTACTTGTAAGTATGTGTCTTCGTCACTGTTCTATCCCTGCAAAGAGTTACCATGACCAAGGCAACTCTTATAAAAGATAGCATTTAATTGGGGACTCGCTTACAGTTTCAGAGGCTTAGTCCATTATCCTCATGGCAGAGAGCATCATAGCAGTCAGGATTGGTGTTGGAGAAGTAGCTGAGAGTTACATCCTGATCTGTAAGCAGAGAGAGAGAGACAGAGACAGAGACAGAGAGACAGAGAGAGAAAGACAGAGAGACAGAGGCAGGCAGAGACAGGCAGAGACACAAAAAAAGAAAGAGATATAGATACACAGAGAAAGACAGACAGAGAGAGACAGAGACAGACAGACAAGGCAGACACTGGGACTGGCATGGGCTTTTGAAACCTCAAAGCCCATCCCCAGTGACACACTTCCACCAGCAAGGCCACACCTCCTAATCTTTCTAATCCATTCAAACAACTTTACTCCCTGGTGACTAAATACATGGACTTATGAAGGCCATTCTTATTCAAACCGCCACAGTATGTGTCTCATGTCTGTGCAGTGGCTGGAAAGTGCTAGATTCTCTGGATCTAGAAGATTTGGATCTAGAAGGCTAAAGATCTAGATGTGTTAGATCATCTGGTACTGAAGTTCCAGACAGTTGTGGTAGAGAGGCCACATGTTGCTCACCGAGTCTTATCCTGGAATGTGAAGACTTCAAGAGTACTAACCAAAGGGGATGGCTTAAAAACAGCTGGGTGTACAGATCTCATTTATCCATATCATCATCAACAATTAAATTTGGAAATCTGGGGCTGGCAAATTAACAGGGTAAAGGCCCCTGGTGCCAAACTTGACAACTTAAGATTGAGTCCAGGGATCAAAAGGGAGGGAGAAGGAGGGAACTGACTCTCACAAGTTGTTCTCTGCCCCACCCCACGTTCCTTGTCATGAAGGCTTTGTGAATGTGTGCCCATGTACATACTTATGTGCATATATATGCCCAAACATACACAATATATAAATGCAACATAAAAAACAAATACTTGGGAATTCAGAGAAATATGCCTTTGAATCATGGAAATGGATACTTGTGGAAGGAGAGGTAGGGAAAAATACCAGCCATGGTGTGAATTCAAATTTGGGAACTGAAAGCCTCGAGGTGACAGCATTAAGAGGCAGGGCTGTATGTGGTGTGCTTAGTGCTCTCTGGAATAGGTTCAAGGAAACACCTAATGACATTTGCCTTCCTTGTCTTGTGCTATGGCAGGGCACAGCATTTGTATCTTCCTCCACTGCCATGTCGAGGACACATCAAGAAGTCTGTGTATGCGAAACAAGTCCTCACTTTGGGCTTGAGTGCCCTAGCCAGCCCCTAGACCTGTAAGAAATCAATTTTCATTCTTTATAAACTACTCAATGTCCTAGTATGATAAAACACTAACCAAAACCAACTTGGAGAGAAAGAGGTTTATTTGTCTTCGATATCCTGGGTCACAGTCCCAGTGAGGGAAGCCAAGGCAGGGACATGGAGGCAGCTACTGAAGCAGAAACCTCTGAGGAACACTGTTGACTCGATTGTTCTTCATGGCTCACTCAGCTTATTTTCTTATACAACTCAGGACCTTCTGCCCGGGGGTGGCACTATCCATAGAGGGCTGGGTCCTCCCACGTTGTTTTTTTTTTATAAAAAATGCCCCCACAGGCCAATCTGATGGAGACAGTTCCTCAATGGAGGCTCTCCCTTCCCAGGTGACTCTAGTTTGTGTCAAGTTGATAATAACTAACCAGCAACACTAAATCTAAGGACCAGACAAAATGGGCTAGGAGACCATCTACATTTGAGTCAGAGCTCTTTCAGGAGGGATTGCATGTGTGGGAACATTGAGACAAAACTGATTTGTCAACACTGTTTTTGTACCATTTTAATTTATGACCATAAGCCCTTAGGAAAGCCTTTAAATCAGTGTTTCTCAACCTGTGGGCCATGACCCTGGGGTCAAAAGATCTTTTCACAGGGGTCACCTAAGACCATCAGAAAACACAGACACTTACATTATGATTCATAACAGCAGCAATAATTACAGTTATGTAGTAGTAACAAAGTAATTCTATGGTTGGGGGTCAGCACAACATGAGGAACTGTATTAAAGGGTTATAGCATCAGGAAGCTCTCAACCACTGCTTTATAATTGTACAGCCCCAGTTTGACGATTGCAGCAATGGTTATGATTCCATTCTTGTGCAGTTTTGGTCCTCTCATTCTTTTGGTAAATGTGGATTTAGTGGCGGGAGAATGCTATTTATAGTACGAATCTTTAATAACTGTAAGCTAGTCTAAGATTTCCTTTCAGTTCAAAATGGTGATAGAATCCAAGGCTATGAGTGCCTGTAAAATTTCCCTCCACGTGTCACCCATCTCTACCTGAGTGAATTTCTTTGTTCCCTCACAGGGCCTTCTGTGAGATACAGATTGTTCATTTTGACTGATGGAAAACTGTAGCTCTAAGTGCTGCGTGGCCAGTCTGTGGAAGCTTCTAAAGCCAATCTCCCCTTTCATTCAAATCTATTTGGAAATGTTCCATGTACACTTAAAAAGAGACTCACATTGTACTGTTCTCAGTTGACGTGATTTCCCGTTAGACCCTTGTTCTGCTATCTATTTTTTCGTAACAATTATACCAAAATAGCCAATACTTATGATCCCAGTTTGGTGAGGGATAGAAATTCAGACATAGCTTAGTTACATATTTTCACAAAACCTCATTGTTTTCCAGAGTGGCCTTGAATGCCTGGGTTCAAAAGATGCCTAAGCCTCCTGAGAAACTGGCACATGCCAGGATTGGCTTATGAATTTCCAAAAATTAATTACTTTATAATGATTTTCATAAGTCTATAGATGTAAAACACAGCCCTCACCTGAAAGGGGGAAGGATTGCATATTCTAGTCCAACATTAGTGACTATGGATTGGGAACATGAATTCTGTCAGGTTAACATGAATGGTGTTTTCATATATAGAAGCTGCTATTTATTATAGCCATAGAACAAAGGAAGTCACAAATCAAGGCATTTACTGAGCACACTGGTGGGTCTATCAGATAGGTGGGTTACAGCAAAGCAAGGAAATAGTCGCTATGGGTATCAGATACTGTCTGGCTAGACTCTTAGCTTAGTGGCTAAGTTGATGCATAGTGGAAAGGATGTTAGAGCAGATAGAGAGGTGGACAAGAAACAGCTATTAAGGGGATTCGAGCTAGAAAAAGGTAGTTTTCGCTATAGATCTGCCATGTGCCGACTTTACAAAAGTCCCAAAATTCTAATCTGTCCAACAACTCCAGAGTATCTTCAACACAGCCATAGCTCTTTTCCAGGAACTTTCTATCACAGTGTCTCCTGCTGGGCAAATGACATATTTTGTGCAGGAAAAGGGGAAGGGAAGTGATAGTTTATGGCCCAGGTTACTAGAAAGCCTCATTGCTAGAATATGACAGGCTGAGTGGGCAAGGGAACAGACTTTAGGACAGAAAAATAGTTTTTAAGTCATTAAAGGAGAAGGACCTGGGTCATAATGACATTATTATCCATCCTGATCTGGATCTGAGGTTTTGTTTTCTTTTTCTTTCTTCATTATCTGATCTAACATTTACATGGGTATGTAATATAAATATTATGTCTAAGATTAAAGCAACCCAGAACAGAGTGTGGCCAAAAAAAAGGTAAAAATGACAGGTGAGATACGTTAACCCAACTAATTCTGTATAATATTAGACTCTTTAACTAGACTGACTGTGTGTTTCTTTCTCTGTGTCTATAGACATTTATATTTTATTAAATATTCTACTTGAGGACTGGAGAGATGACTCTGTGGTTAAGAGTGCTTGCTGCTCTGCCAGAGGACCTGAGTTTAGTTTTCACTACTCTACATACACATACACATAAAACAACAACAACAACAACAACAACAACAACACACACATCTTAAAACCATCCATTTTGTCTTAAATTTGAAATGCTTGAAATAATTATATACACACTCTCTCTCCCTCTCCCTCTCCCTCTTCCCGTGTGTGTTTGTATGTTGTATGTGTGATATGTGTGAGGATGCATGTGCCTATGTGTGCATGGAGGTCAAAGAAGAGCTTTACTTTTCTTACTCCTTTGAGACAAAGTCTCTCACTGAATCCTGTGCAGCCAACACAGCCCCAGGAACCCTGTCTCTATCCACCCCTCAGTGCTAGGGCTGTAGGCATGTACATGGCCACACTCACCTTTTCACTTAGGTTCTGGGATCTGAGTTCAGGTCCTCAAACTTACACAACAATGGCTTATACCCACTGAGACATCTCTGCAGCTCTAAAAATTACCTTTTGATTCTAACTTTTATTTTGGTCAGTTTGATTTTCATCATTATAACCTCATGTGGTGTGGTCAGCTCCAATTCTACAAAAGACTGGACTTTAATATCTAAATTATTGTAACTCTTGTTTGTAAACAAATAATTTCATTCATCCCACTATTTTGCTATTGCATCAGATTCCAGTTTAAGGAATTTAATGGCTAGCACTTTACAGAAGAAACTAGATAAGTAATATAGCATTGCTTTGAATTTTTTTCTAACACAATTATCCTTTTCCGTGTATGAAATATTATTAGTGTCAGGGATGGAGATAAGAGGTTAGGCTTGGAGCAATTAAGATTCCACAGATTTTTATGGAAAGAGCCAAATGTTACTCCTCATTTTACAATCAGGAAGGGGAATAGGACAGTGCTGTGGATAGCGCTCTGTATAAATAAACACTGATTGGCCAATAGCCAGACAGGAAGTATAGGCGGGACTAACAGAGAGGAGAATTGAGGGAACAGGAAGGCAGAGAGGGAGACTGCCTGGAGCCGCCGCCAGGACAAGCAAAATGTAAGGTACCAGTAAGCCACGGGCCACGTGGCAAAGTATAGATTAATAGAAATGGGCTAAATATAAGAGTAAGAGCTAGACAATGTTAGGCCTAATGGCCAAGCAGTTTAAATAATGTAAGTGTCTGTGTGTTTATTTTATAGGTGGGCTCTGGGACTGGCAGGATTTGAAAAGCTCTCTAGCTACAGGACCCCAGTTGGAGGTTTTTTTTACTTTTTTAGATTTATTTATTATATATACAGTGTTCTGTCTGCAGGTATGCCTGCAGGCCAGAACAAGGCATCAGATCTCATTACAGATGTTTGTGAGCCATCATGTGGTTACTGGGAATTGAACTCAGGTCCTCTGGAAGAACAGCCAGTGTCCTTAACCGCTCAGCCATCTCTCCAGCACTGGAGTTGTTTTATAACATTACCTATCTACTTCTCAGTGGAAAAAATGAGTGTTATTACTTATTTTTAAAATTCACACTAACTTCCCTATGGGATACATTTAATTTATAAACAAGGTCTCTTACAGTATAGTCTTTTAGGATACAAGGTATTTATTTTAAAATAATGCTATCTCTATATACCCTGTATGTGAATGTGAATCATTTATATTCTTAAAATTATATACAAGTTTTCTGTCCTAAAATTTTTACTCTAGCTTCTCTATTCTTGTGATATCTCTTTTGGCTCTAGCATTTTCTAGTATTGATAAAAACATCATGAAGGTTGCTGCCATTGGAGAATGAGTGTTTTGTATTATTTTGGTAAAAAGACTCAACTCCAATTTTTTTTGGTATCTCTATCAAAAGTTGATAGAGTTCAAGTTCAAGAAGTGGTCAGAGTATTCCATAGGGCATTCTAGAGCCTTTCAGATCTGATGGTAGCATGTACATCTGTAATTTGAGTCTATCAAATTATTCCTATACACTGTTGTGTTGTCAGTAGGTGAGGTCAAGTCCTTTATTGTGGGCTGTTTAGGGGGCATTTCCAGGGCACATGATTATCAGGAGATGTTATATACAACAATCACATGGATTGTTAAAATATTGATTATTCTATGTAGAAATTTATTATGTGTTAATACTTCCAATGTCTGCGGGAACAGAGTAATCAAATTTATTTAAAGCCATTTAATATTCTTTCCTGCTGTTTTTGTTAGCAAGGATTTTTGCTTTTGCTTTAAGAATTTGGATCTAGAAGATAGAGGCACTCCAAAAATGTAGTTCTTTGGGAAGATTTAAAATAGGTCTTTGTCAATCTATAAAGTGAAAATTTTATCTAAATTATGCTGATTAATGAGAGACTTTTTAATGAAGGCAGTGAGAAATTTTAAACTTTCAAACATGAAGACTTAATTTAAGCAAAGTAGGAAGTCTGGGTATGCAAATAATCATAACAAAAACACAATTAATGAAATGACACAATAATATTAACTTCACTTATAGTTTTTACTAAAAGCAAGATTGGCATTATTTCTCTGCTTTCAGGAAATGTATCATGGAAAGTTTCAAATATCTTTTTTGTAAAGCTCTAATTATTACTTACTTTCCTATTGCTGTGATAAAACACCATGATCAAGGAAACAAGTGTTTAATTGGGCTTATGGTTCCATAGATTTAGAGTTCATGGTGGCTGATCAAGGCATGGTGGTAGGAACTCCAGAGAGCTGTTTACATGTCAAATGTTGAGTAACAGGCAGAGAGCACATTGGGAATGGCACAGGTCTTTTGAAACCTCAAAGCCTGCCCCCAGTAACACACCTCCTCTAACAAGACTCCTAATCCTTTCCAAACAGTTCCATCACCTGTGGACCAAATATTGAAACATATGAGGCTATGGGGACCATTCTCATTCAAACCACCACACCGCAGCAAGTGCCCTTAACTGCTGACTCATCTCTCCATCCTAGCTATTACTTTTTAAAGTACTATGATGGTATATAACACCTCCCTTTAGCAAAGGGCTTACACAATTCTTTGTCTATTTTCATAGTGTCCAGTAATTACTTAATAAGCAGAAAATTGATGTTTTGCAAATATAAATCAATCTAAGATATAGGAGAACTAATGGCTGTATTTTTGGCTAAAAAGCTAAAAATGTTAATCAATTTGGGGAATTGATTTCTTCATAGTGTCATTTGTTCATTGAACCATCAGTCCAGAGACTTGAAAAATCATAGGCAAAGTGAAAATTCTGTACAATAGACCCAGCTAAACAAACGGATTTAAATATTTGTCCACTAAAGTAAAAGCCACAATCATTGTGCAATTAGCAAGAATGTCTCAAGTTGAAACGATGTGTGCGAATGGAATTTTTCATGCCATGGAGGTGGTGGGTTTCTGACAGGGAAAGGACTTTACCTGAAAGGAAAGGCAGAGAAGCTTAATATTAAGGCATATTTATATTCAGTGTGGAGAAATGTGGATGAAATCTAACTCCAAGTTTCCAATTGCTCATTCAATAAAGGAATAAAACACAAAGCCCTTGTCTTCTAAGCCGTGTAGAATAAGTGCACTCAGTTTTGACCTAGAGCAATGTTTCTCAACCCGTAGGTCACAACTCCTTTGTGGGACTAACAACCCTTTCACAGGGGTGGCCTAAGACTACCAGAAAGCACAGATATTTACTTTATGATTCACAACAGTAGCAAAATTACAGTTAGGAAGTAGCAATGAAATAATTTTATGGTTGCGAGTCATCACAAGATGAGGAACTATATTAAAGGGCCGCAGCATTAGGAAGATTGAGAAGTACTGCTCTAATGGATATTTTAATAACCTTTCATTATAGCAAATTTAATCATATTATCTTTGAGTTTTATTTTTTTAGTTAGGTTTTTATGACATACTTCTAATTTTGTCTTCATCCTTCTTTTTGCACTTAGGATAAAGCTTTTACTTTAAGACAAATTTGTATTTTATCATATAAATTCTTCTCTCATCTAAAAGCATTCCATTTTACCTTTAACTTGTTTTTTTAACCAAACAATATATTCTAAACCTGTAACCTTTTCATTCTTGATGATTCCCAGTTTGTTTTTTGTTTTACAAAATTCCAAATTCAGAAAACAGTATTTCACTAAAACATAAAATAACTATAATTTAAGGAAGAGTCAAGCAGCTTTCCTGAAGAAGCAGAGAAAACAGACAGCACTCCTTGTGGTGATTTAATGAGAATGTCCCCCACAGACTCGGGTATTTGAACACTTAGTACCTATTTGATGGCACTGTTTGGGGAGGTCCTGGGGAGACAGGGCTGTGGTGGAGGAAGTACATAGGGTGTGTGGGCTTTGAGAGTTTGGAGCCTTGCTCCACTTCCTGTTTGCTTCCTTTTCCTGACTAGCTGAAGTTATGAGCTCTTAACTTCCTGCTCTGCTCACCTGCTACCATGCCTCTCTACCACTTCCGGCCTCTCCCTCTGGAACCTGAATCCCAAATACATTCTTTCCTTTGTAATTTGCTTTGGGTCATGCTGTTTTAGCACAGCAAAGTAAAGTAACTGATACGTGTCTTAAATATGGAACGATAACAAAAGGAAAACCATCTTAACAGTACTAGCCTCTATTTTACATTTAAATTAACTTGTTGGGTTTGTTTAAGTGCTATGAAAGAAAGGAATTTGGAAGAGGTTTACATGAGCACTTGCTCATCTGTTAGCCAATCTAAATCAAATCCTTTCGATGGTGACTTGGCCATGTAAACATACTACATAATGGATCGGTAAAGGTAATGTAGAGAAGCATATATACTGATAGAATAAGATGACTTAACCTTTAGGTTAAAACTTAGTCATAAGACAAAGTAAAAAGAATTTAAAGTAATTTAATAAGGAGTGTGAATCTAAATTCGTAACAGAATGAATTAAGATAAGATCGTCTGCTTATTTGATGTTGAGGTTTTAAGTCTTAAGTAAACCTCGTTGCTGTTTGCATTTTAAAATATTTTTCTTTTGAACAATCTGACTTTTGTTCATTTTTGTTTTTTAAAAAATTACCAAAATAAAAAAAAAATCCAGATTGACCATCTTGGGCATATACTCAAAGGACTCTAAATCAACACGCCATAGAGATACCTACTTGCTTATTAGCACACTATTTACAATAGCCAAAAAAGGAAATGGAACCAGCCTAGATTTCCACCAACAGATGTATGGAATACAATATATGGTACATATACACATACACAATGAAATCTTATTCAAATGTAAAAGATGATCATGACAGTTGCAGAAAAATGGATAGGACTAAAGTCATTATGTTAAGCAAACTAAGCCAGACTCTGAGAAATACTCTATGCTTTCTGCTATACGCAGAAACTAGATTTAAAAATGTGTGTGTGTGTGTGTGTGTGTGTGTGTGTGTGTGTGTGTGTGAGAGAGAGAGAGAGAGAGAGAGAGAGAGAGAGAGAGAGAGATAGATGAACCTAGAAAGGGGACCATGAAAGGGGAATGAGAGATCTTAAGGCATGGGGTAAGAGTGTGACAGAATACATGTGACATGAAAGCAGAGGTAGGGACTATACGGCTGAAGGAAAGCATATGAGTTACTTTTTTCTTATTGTACTAAAATACCATAACCAAAGCAACTTAGAGAAGGGCTAGCTTATTTTGGTTTATGGTTCCAGACCACGGACTTCATAATGGTGAAGAAGGCATGGTAGCAGATAACCAGAGTGAGAAGCTAGGATATCACATCTCAATCATACACACAAAGCCGAGAAAGTGAGTAAGAACCGGGCTGACTCTGTACACCCTCAAAGCCTAACCCCAGTGACGTACTTCCTCCAGCAAAGCTCCACCTCCTAAAAGTCTTGTGATCTCACCAAACAGTGCCACCAACTGTGTTTCAAATGTTCAGATGCACAAGGCTGTGGAGAACATTTCTCATTCAAACCACCACAGGGAGCATGAAGGAGGGTAGTGGGAGCAACAGGTGAATTAGAACACACACACACACACACACACACACACACACACACACACACACACACATATGAAAATACCTTGATGAAATCCAGTACTTTCTCTACAATCTTTAAAAATTAATTAAAAGCAAAACTTCATATACCAAATAGATTGAGTCACAAACCTTTCTATCACAGACTCAAACAAGAATATCCAATTATAGACACAGGCTAACAGACAGACAGAATGCCACATAAGCAATGATGTGAAATCAACACTTAGGAGCACACACTGAAGGAACGCATAGCACACCTACAGTACTTCAGAGGGCAGTCTTAATGAATAAAGGGAAAAAATCTGCATGTCTGTGTGCTTGAGATACAAGAGGGACCCAGTGAAGGGCAAAATGGCAAGAAAAAAGACAGAAAAGAAAATGAAAAAAAAAAAGAAAAAGAAGAATGTTTGTATACAGACGTTGGTCTTAAGAACTAACCACCTGAGACAGAGATGCTCTCTAATAACAGTAAAAAAAAAAAAATCCTGTTTTTTTAGGGCAATAAGGTGATTTGAAATTCTTTAGCACATCCCAAAGGGTCCCTGTATGACTTAGGAAATCCCATAATTAAAGGTTTGGCTCAATTTTTCCCCAAGGGGTACAGATCTGTTCTTCCTCTAAGCCTGTATCTTTGAAAAGATCACACCAATCTTTTCTTTTGGTGCACAATTTTGTTCCGCTTGGGATTACTAGAGAAGATAACAAAAAAGAGAGTGAATAAGAAGGAGGAAGAGGCAAGGAGAGTTGATACCAAGGGGTTGAAAAAAGATACTTCAGATATGACATGACCTCTAATTTTTAAATATTCATTACTGATATAAAATCTCTCTTAAAAAATTTGGTGTATTTTTAAAAACTCTTTTTAATTTCTTTCACTTTTTCCCCTGAGATACAATCTCACTGTGTAGCCCTGGCTGCTCTGAAACTCACTATGTAGATCAGGCTGGCCTCGAACTCACAGAGATCCACTTGCCAGTGCCTCTCATGTGCTGGAATTAAAGATATGTGCTACCACACCCAGCAAATAAACAGGCAATTGTATTATTTTCCCCTTAGACATTTGAAATTATAATTAAAGTAGGTTGTTATAGTTTTATGTTCATATGTTCATCAATATGTTCATCATATTTTAAAAAATCATTATTTTTAACTGTATGTATGGGTGGGGGTGGGGGAGTGGCTATGTGGACATGAGTGTAGGAGCCCTCAGAGGCTAGAAGAAGGCGTCCGATTCCCTGGAGCTGGAGGGACAGGTGGATAGGAGTCTCCTGCCATCAGTACTGAGAAGTGAACCCGGGTCCTCTGGAAGAGCAGCGTGCACTAACTACTAAGGCACTTCTCCAGCTCCTCACTTACCAGCTTTAGTTTTATTGCCGGGACCTCGGATGTGCAAAAGCATGCAAAGAAAATCAATTTGAGGATATTAATCAGTTCTAACATTTAAAATAATACTGCATTGTGTTAGTCATGGTCAGACCAGTTTTAAAAACTCCCCCATTTTGACTAAACAATGACAATTCCCAAAGTAGCTTGTTTTTCTAGATTCTTGCCCTATCAGCTCTCAGTAAATGGCTGGCTATTAGAAAGGTTTCTCAACACCCTGACAGTTTGTAGCCTAGCACGTAACCTACCTATTTCCCCAGCTACTCCTAGAATGTGGGGCTGTTCCCCTTTCCTTCCCTTTCGGCCCTGGAACTACCCCAGCTTGGAAGTGATCCCAGAGACCCCCTCGGCTAATGAATAAAGCCTGTGCTGTCTCTGAGTCACTTGTCCCTTTGTCTGTCTGTCCTCCTTGCCAACCAGACATATGGTATTACTATGATTATCAAACACATAACCAGCTGGAGTTTCAAATGGTGTTGTTTTTTTTCTCCAAATATTTCCTTCTTCTTTGAATTTCTGTTCCCACTTCTAAAATTTCCTCTCTCTTTTTTTTCTCCTAATTTCAAACTTCCATCATATCTGTGTTTCAGATCAGATTCATGTGCTCTATAGGACTCATGGATTAACTCTCTCAGTTCTCATCCCAAGGCCGATTCTTTCCACTGCATCTCAGGTTTATACTTCACATTTACAGGACCAGGCAGAGAAGCAAGGTCATTCCCTGTTTGGGGTACCTTCCCAGCTGAGCAACCCAGGAATGATGTACGTTGTTCTGGATTCCCTCTGAGGCCATTTCACATCCTGGGAATTTCCCCTGACTCCTCTCCCCTGTTTGGCTGGGGGAATATATGCCTGTTATCTCTGGCGTCTTTATGATCAGGGGCTCATAAAGTTTTCAAAGCTAAAAGGTCAAGGTTGCAGTGAACTAGAGAAAAGTCAGAAACATCACACAGTTAGATTCTGGAGGAGCTGCAGGACAGAAAGTTCAGATGCCAGCAAACAAATGCACTCAAATGAACAAATACCCCAAATAAATAGGGATCAAACAATGAGCTTGAAATAAAAATGAATGGACCATTGATCAAACCAAAGAGAGGTCTGGACTTCAGAAAGAACTCACCAACATCCAGCCACATAGGTAACTCCAATCGTTGAGGACAAAGAGGCCCCTTATTGGTACCTGGTACAGCTTCAGGTGACTTCTCGATTTAAAATGGATTGTCCTTGTGGTCCCATTAAGGTACTAAAACTGTCCTAACAAAGTAGAGCTATTACCTTACTGACAGGTGTTAAG